TCAACTCTAAATTTCGAATTTTAATTGAATTAATCAAATTTAATATTATATACACTTCAATTAGCGTAATTTTTATGTTATTAGTTGATAAATTTATTGAAAATGACAGTAAATTCAATGTCTTCAAAACATCTCGAAATCATCATTCGTAAAGGCCTAAGCGTTTAAGATGTCTATCTGAATATATGTATGTATCAATATGTAAGTTTGTATGTATGTATGTATGTATGTTTGTTTGTATGTTTGTTTGTATGTTTGTTTGTATGTTTGTTTGTATGTACGTTTGTATGTGTGTTTGTACATATGTTTGTTTGTTTGTTTGTATGTATATACATAGGTCTAAAAATATTAATCATAAAAAACCCAATTTCACTTTCCTAAATTTTCCTATAAAATGATGCAATTGGAAATTTCCCTGAAATTAACTCTCATTTTTATTAGTAACCGTTAAATAATTATGAAATCTAAAACATTACTACCACTACTACTACAACTACTGCTAATACTGCAGCTACTTTTGCTGTCGCTGCTGCTGCTTCTACTACTACTACTTTTGCTGATGCTGCTACTGCTGCTGCTTCTACTACTATTACTACAAATAATAAGATTAATAAAAATGAAAAAAAAATAGGAAACCTTTTCATTGTTACAACTGTCTCTATGATTTTTCGTTGGCTCCAGGCGTCAAATCACTCGATGATTGTGCTTTCTAGTTATCTCAAACCTTTTTGCACTTCTGTCTAGTCATTATATTGTTGATGAATTTTGAATAAGGAAAAGGTAGGTATATCGTATTTTATTTGTGAAAATGAGTAATTTTAGTTTTTTTAGCTAATAGATGTTATAATTTTATTGCTACAAATTTCAATTTAGCTTACAGAAGAATGGCAACTTTGAATTATTAAAATTTTGGTAAGAAACAAATAAAAACCATCTGAAATGCATCTCTTTTTAGTTTTTACTCATTACATCAGCAATAAAAGATGAAAATTTGCACAATTATATGGATTTATATATATATATATATATATATATATATATATATATATATATATATATATATGACGTTTTTACCAAAATCATCCAAATAACCACGGTATTTCTTCTAAATTCCCGTGCACATTCATGCAAAATTACATTCATACGTTAAAATTTATGATATGATTTTCTGCATTAATACGTGTTTTATTATTATTAATTTAATGTTAATTTTAAGTAAATACCAAGAGTAATTAATTAAAATGAATAGTTTTAAACGTACAAAGTGATTCATGAAATGATTTTTGCAATTATTCTCTGACCTTCCATAAAATTAATTACTTCGATCAACTTTTAATATTAAATTTTAAAAGTGACATACAAACAAAAACATGGCGACCTCCACAGAAAAGACGTGCTCGAAACTAATTTTAAAATCCGTGCAAGACGAAATCAGTGAAGACGACATCGATCGATTTGTTGTCGGTTAGCATTAAATTTTTCAATTTTTTTCTTCTATTTATCTTTCTTAAATTTTGTCAAAATAATTTAAGAGATCATGCAAAAACAAATTTTCATTAATTTCTTATTAATTCCTACTTTTATTTTATTTAGTTAGATTTACCCTTTATTTCATTTTTTATCAGCCTGTATTCGTCATTTGATTAATTCAATATATAATCAAATTTAAACCTAACTAATGCCAAGTTACTAATATTTATATAATAGTGGCAGAATTTCACTCTTAATTTTATTTTAGTTATATTTAGCTTTTAACCTAACTTTACCAAAGATCTTGAATCTGGCAATATAGAGTTTCTTGAATTCATTCAGTCCATTGGGTTTGTCTGTCAGACATTAAACATTTTTTTAAATAAATTTTATTTTATTAATCGTCATTTAATATATTGATAATTAATTATAATTATAAATAAATAAATTAATGATATTTATCAAAGGGAATTTTTGCTGAGTCCTGAAAACAAGAAGAGACTGATAGCCACAAAACTTTTGTCTGAAATCATAAGCAAACTCAACGCTAAATTTTTCAACGGGAAAGAAAGTACTGAAATTATGCCAGACATTTTTATCTATTTATTATTTATTTATTTATTATTATTTATTTATTTATTATAAAATATTTTTATTTATAAATATTATTTCATTTTTCTTTTTATCTCAAATTTTTTTCTTCCAGTTTATTGATTAAACCATATTATTTGTAATGGTATTATATTTATTTCGACTACCACTAAACACTGCTACTACTATTATTACTACTTCTGCTAGTACTACTACTACTGCTGCTGCTAGTATATCTACTTTTACTACTGCTGTGGCTACTGTAGTAGCGATACTGACATCACCACAATTATTTCTAGTATTTCATACTTGTTGTAAATTGTGTCATGTATATATATTATTTGTTAAAAGCTTTTACTAAAACAAAAATATTATTCTTTAAAACATTACTACTACTGCTACCACTACTTGTGATATTTTTACTGCTACTACTGCTACTTATGCTACTACACTGATCTAACAATAAATAGATTTATTCGTATTTGTAAGGTTTTTCATATATATTTGTGATCAAACAATTAAGCTGCTATAAATGTGTTACTGTTGTAATGTTATTACTACTTTTACTACTGCTACTACTGCCTTTACTATTACTACCATGCTGACGTTATTGCAATTGTTGCTAGTATTACAAAAAAAAAAATTTGGATTTTTTTTTTTATATATTGTCGATTAGACTATTTCACTGCTAATATTACTACTACTACTACCACTTCTACTACTACAACAACTACTACTACTTCTACTAGTATTACTGTTGCTATTTCACAGGTTTGTTCAAAAATCAAATTTTTAACTCTTAAAACAGTCGAAGTCCTGGCCGAATTCTTGTGCGCAAAGTTTACTGATCACCACCTCATTGCACCTGCCTGTCTAAAAGGGTTGGAGTTTTTGGTGGGTTGAGATCTCATCGATTACCTATTTAACAATTATTCAAATCAATAAACATGTAAAAACAATATTTAACAAGCATACAAGCAAAATAAAAGAAATGAATGAATGATTAAAAAATTGAAATCTCGTACAAAAACAGTCCAAATCGGCTGCCATGAAAAGAGAAACGGTAATATACATAGTTCGATGTATCTATAAGGACTTAACAGTTCAGACCTTGGTACAGAATGATAGATATCTCGTTTATATGATACTACAGAATTTTGTGGAACATCGATCATCTGGTTATTATTTTGCCACTGTTAACCTTATTTGCCGACTAAACATTACATACACTAACATTAAAACAGATCTTGAAGAAATGAACGACGGTGAATTCGTACTCGGGTTCACTCAAGCTGTAGACTCCGAACGAGACCCCAGAAATTTGCTCACCATCTTCAAATTAGTGTCACTAATTGGCCGACGTTTCAAATTAGGCGTAGTGGCCGAGGATTTGTTTGAAGTCATTGCTTGCTACTTCCCCATCGACTTTAAACCTGTTCGAGTTTTACTTTTGCGATTAGATGAATGAATGAGTGAACGAATGAACGGTTTGATAAATAAATGAAAAGCTTAATGAATGAATGAATGAACGAATGAATAAATAAATGGACAAACGGGTGAACGAACGAATTCTTGAATGGACCACAAACAAATTTTTGTTATTTAGCCTCTTAACGTAAGTGAGAATTAATGAATAGAGTTGAATGGATGAAAGAACGAATAAACAAATAAAAAACAGTCAGCCAAATGAATGAATGAATGAAAGAACAGTTAAATAAATGAATGAATGAATGAAAAAATAAATAAACCAACGAATCTTTATTACCAAAGCCTCCCCACATAAATGAGAAAATATCTAGAGATGAACTGTCGACGAGTTTGAAGACCTGTTTCTCGTCAACAACAGAGTTTGCAGACTACGCGCTACCACTATTCATTGAAAAACTCCAATCCACTAATTCTCAGTCGAAAAATGATTCTCTAGATTATTTTGTGAGAATTTTTTTATTCTTTGTTTTATATCTGTCTACTAATTTGTAGTTAAAAGTCGATTATTTTTGGGTATTATATTCATTTTGTAAGATTTTTTGTTTGTATCTTATCTTTCCCTGGTTTTCCTAATTTGAATCAACAGACTGACTGTTGTCAAGTGTACCATCCGGCAAAGATATCAAAATATTCCAGCGGTTTTTGGGACAGTATAAAAAGAGATGTGCGTAAATTATTATTATTCTTTTTATTATTATTATTATCGTTTTTGTTTTATGATCAAATATGAAGTGGAATGAAATAAAGATTATCATCATCGTCATCATTATCAACATCATCGTCATCATCAACAACAACACCATCATCATCAACAACACCATCATCATCAACAACAACAACATCATAATCATCAACAACTTCCTCCTCATCATCATCTTCAACAACATCATCATCAGATATTTTCATCGAATTCTGATCTCGAGCAGTCAAGTTTGAAGGCACTCAGTGCTATGACGTCATGCTTATCTCGTTGCAACAATAACAACAACAATAATAATAACAATAGCAACAACAACGACGATTATGATGACAGTAACAACAATAACGATGTTAATATCACTACTACTACTGCTGCTGCTACTACTAAAGATAGTAAAGATGATGACGATGAAATGAACAAGAGAGAAGATGTGGTTATGCGTTGTGATGATGATGATCTCATCAAATTTATTAACATCGTTTGGAAAGGTTGGTTTTTATGATGATGGTGGTGGTGGTGATGATGGTAGTAGTGGCAGTGGTGGTAGTTGTGATAATGATAAATAGTGATGAAGAGTTTAAAGAAAGCACAGTTTATTTTTTATGTGCAAATTGGTTGACCGGATGATAATATTCTTTGTCAATGATGATGAATATGGAAGAAGATGATGATCTGATAATGTAGCCTCATTAATATTCATTTATCTATGAATAGATTGTGGAAAGTACCTTCAAGAGCCCGCCCTTCAAATTTTTAACCAATCAGTGAAGCTCATTTTGGCTGTGTTGACGTCATCAATGGAGGCCCGATCGTTAATGTTGGATAGAGTTTTGAAGACTTTATTAAACGAATTTGAAGTTCACCAGCAAGTATGTTGTTGATGCTATTTATGTTGTAGTAGTTGATGTATTTGCTATTGTTGTAAGTTGTTTTAGTGGTCTTTTGCACTCCATCGACTGGTTTCAAACGCAAAAGAGGTCACCTATTTACTATTATGTGCCTTGCTAATGCGCGTAAGCCCACCTACGTACATATCTACTTCGTTTTCGCGGGGAGTTGTTTGATTCAGTAGGTATGCGCGTTGAAAGGGCGCGCTTTATAAATGATACTAATAGTATTACTATTAATATTATCCAGGTAAAAGACAGAATAGGAATAGTTCAAGCCTTGCTGTCGTTAATCGAGGCAGAACTTCAAGAACAGCAGCGCTGGGGCGAGCAACGAAACAAAATTTTATCAAAATGGAAGTCACAAATTTTGTCGGCCTTAACATCGACGACAACTAGCCACTATCTCCTACTGGTTTCCTTGAAATGCCTGTCCGCCATGCTGCTTTTCAACGATCTCTTCGATGCAGACGAGGAAAATAGTGTAGCACTTCATTTTATTCAAGTGATACTAACCGCCAATGCCGATCTAGTGAGGTCAGGTTTTGGAAAAATTTCTCTTATTATTATTATAGATAATTATGGATAATTATAATAGATATTATTATTACTATAAATATATATTTATATTTAAACTCATTGAGGTAATATTTCTTTCCAGAAGTGAAAGCGAATGTTTGTTAGAAAAAATGTGTGTCTCCGGCGACCTCAAAATGGCCTCAATGAGTATCTTATCTGCGGAGCTATTTTCTCATTTAGAGAAGAGTTACTAACATTTTCGCTTTTTTAATCATTGATATATTAAATCAATTATTTTATTAAATAAATAAATTAAACGAGTAATGATCATTTTTTTTTATAGTTCTAGAATCTTCACCCGACGGCAAAAGTAGCGATGTACCTAGATTGAGTTATTTGGTTTCTTTGGCACCGTGCTTCTACAAGGATGTGGAATTCGTCAAGAAGGTTTCGGCAAAGCTGCTGAAATACATTAGAGACGTGTTTTATACTAACGCTATAGCGGGCTCACTGACACAGTCGCCATCTCTACCGTCGTCTTTATCGTCGTGTCTCGAAGCCTTGCAAAAGATAGTTTCGAAATCGATGAGTTTGAAACTGGAAGAACCCAGGAAATACCTGACGGATATTTTTATAGCTGAATGTATGCACGTTATTTCGGAGTCTCCAAAGAGTATTAGCAATCAGTTCGGTGAAATTGAGAAAATTCACGACCTGATTGTTGGTTTAGCAAAGTGTATAAGATTGATATCTCAGGATAGTGAATTTGAGTGAGGCCAATAATTTCATAATATTAACATTGTCACTATTACAATTATTGTTGTTGTTATGATTCTCAATTGTTATATTCGAGACTATAATTAGAAATAATTATTATTAATAATAATAATTACAGAAATAATAATTATTAATGTAATTTATTTCATTAAAGGTGCATTCAGCCTTACGCTGAAGAGGCCGTAAAAAGTTTCTTCGATTTTGAGCAACGTTTCAAAGTGATTCCATTATCATAATTTATTTTTAAAACATATATAATTTACATAATTTATTCAGCCTAATTTATTCATAAATCTATTATATTATATAGTTATATAATTCAATAAATGACATTAACAATATTCATCATTGCAATGACCAAGACAGATAAAAAACACGGAAACCTATAATTTATTCATAAACCATTCATCAATTTTAGCATTATAACTATAAACATAATTTTTAATGCATTACGTAACTATTCATTAACTTATTTTTCAATAATATGCTATAAAATGAATAAATAAGCCAACAGATAGTAATAATTGTTATCGTAATTACTTTAAGGAAGTTAAAGACGAAATGGCGGAAGGTTTTTGTCAGCGTCATAGAGATGTCAAGCTGTTGTTGTTGCTGTCAACTTTCTGTGTTATCAAGCAGATTGTCAGTTTTTTCTCCTCTCATTCTACAAATTATAATCAATTCATTCTACAAATTATAATTAATTATATATTATTATTCATATAATAATTATTTATTTATTTAATATAATTATTGTTGAAGGAGAAGTTTGGGCAAACAACAGAAGTTTTGGAAGCGTGTTTTAATATCGTTGTAGCTAAATCTGAGGCAGTGGCGTCAGCAGCGACAGAGACGCTGTCGACAGCTGCACCAACGAACACGTCAACGGCAGTACTAGCTGCCAAGTGTGTCGCGATGCTCATCAACAAATCGAAAAACGACAACCACAACAGCAACAACATAGATACAATCATCGAAAGGTATCAAGATACATTATTGAGAGTCTTTTCTGAAAGTAAGAAAAAAGACCATGATGAGATGAGGTCGAGATATTTTGAGAACTGTTTGATTCTTTGGTCCTGGGTGTCTAAAGCACTCGTTGCCATGAACCATCAGTCTCAAACCGTCTTTGCTTTTCAGGTCATGATTACAATAATAATTATTATTGTTATTATTATTGTTACTATCATCATCATCTTTATTATTATTGTTATTAATATCATCATCATCATCACCATCAACATTATTTAAAATCACAAACCATTTAAAAATCGTTTAATTTGTGATACAAATTTTTTTCTCACTAATTCAGCTGATTGACATGTTGGCCGAACCTGTATCATCATCATCGTCATCAAGAACATTCAGAGTGAGTGACGGAGTAAAGATAATAATGGATGAGTTCGATGACGTCATCAACATCGAGACCCATTGCAACGTCACCATGCTATATAGGCAGAGATTTTTTAACATGATTATCTGTAGATTGACCGATGGATATTTTGCCTGTGTGTCGTCATCATCGTCATCATCACCGTCGTCATCATCATCCTCATCAAATGGTTTGTGTTTTCATTCGTTCCTTCATTCATTCCTCCAGTCATTCAGTCAGTCATTTATTTTTCGTACACTAATTCACCAATTCATTCATTCACTAATTCATTCATTCACCAACTCATTTACTCACCAACTCATTTGTTCACTAATTCATTCATTCACTAATTCATTCATTCACTAATTCATTTCCTATCAGAATGCATAGAAGAGTACCTAAGATCAATGCATCACATGATCGAAGGCGTACCGAAGTCTGTGATTAAGCAGGAAATACCTCTGGTACGCACGTGTGTATAATAATAATAATAATTAATTATAATTTATCTTAATAATTAATGGTAATTATACTTATAACAATTTGTTCTAGATTCTACCGATGATTATAGCGTCGCTCGGTCAGCATGAGACAATTGAACAACAACTTCAACAAATTAAGCAACAATTCTTACAAAAACAACAACAAAAACATCAACAACAACATCAGCAACAACAACATCAGCAACAACAACATCAGCAACAACAACATCAGCAACAACAACATCAGCAACAACAACATCAGCAACAACAACATCAGCAACAACAACATCAGCAACAACAACATCAGCAACAACAACATCAGCAACAACAACAACATCAGCAACAACAACAACAACAAAAACATCATCAGCAACAACAACATCAACATTTTGAGATTTATATATCATCCTTGAGGACTTTACAGAACTTCATCAGTGCATCTCCGGATCATATAATCATGTAGCTAAATTATTAACCTTAACAATAATCACACTAATATTATTAATATTGCATTTTTAATAATAAATATAATAATAATTAATTATGGTAATCATTAATTATAATAATATTAAAAATATTTATAAATAGGTTTTATTTTTTTTCAAAGGCTCATCAACGACATCCTACCAAAACTATTGAGTCTATCGAGATGCCCCTCCAACATGGTATATATATATATAATATATATATATAAATTCACGTATATAAAACCATACATAGAATATGTAATCTATACGAACATACATACATATCATACATAATCTTTATTTTATGTTTATTTTCAAAATATTTATTTATGTTTTTGTTTGATCACGTCTTATATGGACAAAATTTTTCTTTTGATTATGCCGGATAGCGCCTTTGGCTAGTTCTATAAAAGTCTCTATACAAGTTTTCTTATATTAATAATACGTACACACACACACACACCCATGCATACATACACACACAAACTTTTAAATGCTCCGCAGACGGTAAGAATGGAAGCGTTAAAATGCCTAGCCCTCCTACCTCATCATATACCGCCTGACCAGCTCCTGACCAATTCGAAAGCAGCCTTTCTAATCATCCGACAATCACTGGACGATCAAAAAAGACTTGTTCGGGTGCACGCCGTCGAAGCTATGATGAAATGGTCTGTCCGCGATTGTATATATTCCGTATTGTTATTGTAACGTCTCGTTATTTTGTGTTTCATTCATCAATGATTTTTACCTCAGCTATCAGATAATGTGATGCCGTTGCTCTTGCTCGAGAGTATGCGCTTTGGAATGCTGCTAGTGATTATTTAAGAATTGAAAATAATTTATATTCTATCGATCGATCGATCAACCAATCATTAGGAATCAATTCACCTCTAAACGATCGTTCATCATAAAATCAATAAACAGTAAATCATCTAAAATCGATCAGCAATTAATCAACAAACAATCCTTCGAAATCAATCAATCAGATGTACAATCAATCAATCAAGCGTACAATCAATCCAATCAGGTGTACAATCAACCAACCTTCTGAATCAGGGTAAAGCACATTAGGTTCGGCAACAGTGGTGGAAAAAATACAAAAACAATAATGGAACTAAAAATCAGAGAGCCTATTATATATTTTGGTACGATCATAATCTATTGATAGGACAATTTATTGATACGATCATTATTTACTTGATGTATCATCACAACATCGGTATTTGGTTATATAAAGATAGGCATTTTTAATTTATTAAAGTCGATTCTATTTTATAAATTCATTCCTTAGTCATAATATTTTTGCCAGTGTGTATTCGTGTGTACTTCATACATAAGTGTATTGTAAACGTACCAGCGAGTCGATGTATACAAATGTACATACATGCACCTATTCGTGGTCGTGTACAATTTTAAATGTATGCACCTCCAACGTATATCGATAATAAGTTGAAACAGAACTTTATGAATTTTGTCTACCTTAAGCTAACCCATTTATCGATGGAGATTACGAAGGACAACACAAAACACATGTATAAAAAAATAAAAAAGCAAATGTCAGTTTAATAAAATTAAAGGGCGTCTTTAACTGCAACTCTCTTCTGATTGACTGGCGTGGAAATTTTGGGCGGAGTTATGCCCGGCTCGTGTGAGGGAACAGAGGGAAGATTCTCCAAGTCTGGATGGTAGAATTTATGAATATTAACGAGATATCATAAATATCTCACGGTATTCTTATATAGAGCTCGGGAATGCTAATGAGGTTAATTAATATCGATTTATTACCACCTTTCAAGTAGTCTTCAGCACTGGTAGATGTCAATATGTCGTTAAGCTCCGCCTCTAATTCGTCCATATTATAATCAGTCGTGTCTGCGATTGGTTGAGATATCGTTTGATTGATTTGTTCACTCGTCTCGAAGGCCTAGAACAAAAAAAAGTAAGAATCAGTTGATTGAGATTCTTTGAGAATGAAGTGCATGAGAATGAAATGTGGATTAACAAATAGAAAAAGGAAAAATTGAATGAGTGAATAAATGGATAGATAAATAATTTGAAAAAAACAAACAGATAACGTATGAAAAAGTTAATGAATGAATTAAGCATACTTCTTGAATGTCAAGCATTGTATCGTCTATGTTGCTTTCATTCAAACCCGTTTGCTCCCTCAAGCCCTTGAAAGCCTGCACTCCTGACGAGTATGCATCTAGGATCTTTTTTTTAGGGACGAAATATATTTTGAAAAGTTCTTAAAATATTATATTATCATACATATCTAGCTCTTTAACAGTTGCAGAATTAATAATAAATGATTAAAACGATAACCTATGAATAGCAGATGATAAGTATAACGATAATCATTCTATAATAATGACTATATTAGCTAGCAACGATAAAAATAATAAATAATAATTAAAGACAGTCGCCTGTTGATTAGACTCAGTTTGCTGTATGATAGAGATGAGGTTGCAAATTTTATCAATAGCCTGCTCTCTTTGCTTCAACACCAACTCCAAACTTTTCTTCTTCTTCAAGAATTTCAAGGCCTTTCATAAGAATATCCATACACATTCAAATACACATACGATCTTCAAATACGCATACGTACATGTTCAAATACACATACAATCTTCAAATACGCATACGTACATGTTCAAATACACATACAATCTTCAAATACGCATACGTACATGTTCAAATACACATACAATCTTCAAAAAATTCATACAATTTTCAAAAAAATTTTCAAACAATCAAATTTAAATATACATAATTTAATATTATAACTTTAAACATTTAACAATTGAAACTTGAAAAAATTAATTATCCATTTCTTACAATGCTCTTTTTTCCTTGCTGAAGGTACTGCTTAGCGTTAAGTCTGCACCTGGAAAGGCATGTGGAGATGGTCATGTTAAGTAGTAGTAGTGGTAGTAATAATAATAATAATAATAATAATAAAACAACAGTAATAAAATAATTAAAGTTATTATTATTATTATTATAGTAATTTAATTTATAAAGCCTCGAGCAAGAAGTGACACAGGTGACCCCCCAAAAAAAATCAAGTAATTATAGTAACAATGGAACAACAATTACGAAAGCAAAATAAAATAATAATAAAATAATAATTATGATAAAACAATTATTGACATAATAAAAAAGAGGCATTTATGATAATAATACGCACTCCTCCATTTGTTTTTCTACTTTCGTTATCTCAGCTTCCATCTTCCCTTCAGCCATCTTCAATCTGAAATTGAACCGCACGCCATTGGTTACAAAGAGTACCAATGGATAATTTAACATACTCATTGACATAATTTATTATGAATAATATTATTAGAGTTGAAATGAATATTAATGAGTGATAAAATAACAACAAAAAAGAAAATTGCACAATGTAAAAGGCGTTTGTAGAAAAAAAATTAAAGTATTACCATCATGTAAGTTTGTAAACTACGTAATAAGGTGATATTTAACCAAATTAGTCATCTTAATAGCAGAATAATGAAGAAATAGTCTTCCTTGGTGGTAATTCTGATAAAAACTATGATGGTTTAAAATTAATGAAAAAGTTAAGGAATGAGAGCCAGCCACTTATAGATTTTCAATTCATTTCCTTGCATTTGAGATTTTTTCTTTGACGACGATTTCATCATTATGATCTAAAATTAAGAACATACAAATTAGTTAAAATTAAATTTATTTACAAATCCACGCAGACGATAGTTATCTTAAAACATTTATTCAAATATAAAAATTAATACCTGAAGATAAGTCAAAATCAAATATTAAAATATTGAAAGTATATATTATAGACCTTATCACCGTCGGCATTCACTTTTACACAGCACAACTTCTGCCTGCACAACTCTAAAATGGCCACCTCGAATGATTTCTCATCGGAGCAGATATGATGACATTGTCGTTGCAGTACGTCGTAGCTGACGACATTGTCCGTTACGTCATACATGACGTTATTATTGTGGTGGGCATATACATTACTAGCAGCTTCCTTTAAAAGTATATATACACATAAATATATATTATAAATAGAATACATTCATACATATGCATTAAATGTCATTTGTAGTTTAAATATACATTTCATTATATATATACTATATATGTGCATGTGCATATGTAAACTATATATATATATATATATACAACCTTAACTAGATCGACTAGAACAAATTCTTCATCGGGCAATCTTCTTTGATGACTGTAGAGATCAAACACATAACCATCATTACCATCACCACCTGTCGCCCAACTGTACACCCATGATAATGATCCTTGGGGATTTTAAGTAAATTAAATGATAATAAATTATGATAATCAGTTGATATTTTATGTTAATTTAAGCTAGAAACCTTTTAGAAACGTATTGTAACCCCATTTAACTGGTTTTGTGACTAATGAGTTGAAGGTCCAGGAGAGCCAGCCAGTGTTGCAGGCTGAGCTAAAGTCTGACAGACTTTGAAGTGATCGATTTCTGTTGTAAATGGAAAAAAATTGAAATAGGGAAGTAAATTAATTAAAGAATTAGAAGCTAATGCTAATCCCAATGTAAGACCATATAATTAACAACAATTAACCATCATAAGCAAGCAATTAATGAATAACATTTTCAATTTAATTAAACTTTTAATAAAAAAAAGTTTTAACCTTAACTCTTAATCTCTAACTTATAAATATATACTTTTAATTTTAATTAATTAATAAAAACAAAAAAATTTTAAAACACAAAAGGTTTTTTTCAATTTATTATCACAATTTTGTGCTCCGGACGTTTACAAATTTTTTCCAACATACAGTCAGAATAAAAGAGAAGAGAGGACCTACCTTAACATTTCATGTAGAACAACATTCAAGCATTGGGGAACAGACGAATTTTTCTTCAACTTCTCCGGTAGACTTTTAGCGTTGAAAACAAGTTGTCTATTTTTTAGGCAATAATCTCTGATGCTATCGGCCCAAAATTTCATTTTACTGTCCCACGAAAGTGGATTAGTGCTTCGGTCTTTACGGAATGGGGCCATGAAAAACGCAAGCCGCTCATCGTCAATTTCTGAATTATTTGATTTTAATACGGATGACATATTCGTATGTATTGAGATTTGTTACTGAGTTAACTGACTAACTAATTCATTAAATTGGGTTTTTCAACTGTTAAGTTAGCTTTTGCGTGATTTTTAGAAAAATTGGAGAAATTAAAAGTGAATTTTAAGTGTCGGGTGGGCTACTTGTGAAATTGCATGTGTTTTAGCAAACAACATATCAATGAACTATTTACTTGACTTATTGTGTTTAAAACAAAACTGTAATTTTTTTTAATTTTATTAAATAGAATTATGTATTTTAAAATTATTTTTGTTAATTTGAATATAACAATTGCTTGTTTTCCGGCTAAATATAGTGGCTTACTGAAGCTATATGTTGGCTTACTAGGATTGAACTATAGTCACACATTTTGCACGTATTATATACAGTACCATGAGAAACTGTCTGATACTGTAAGGAGCCATCCGATAAGGATGTCACGCTTCAAGGGGGGGAGGTGGTCAAAACATTTGTGACACTTTGTAATGAGGGGGAAGGAGTAAACGCAAGTGTGACGTCACTTTTTTTAAATAAACAGAGCAATAAATATATTTTCTTTCTTTGTCAGTCTTCTTATGTAGATAAATATGTATGACGTGGTCATAAGCATACACGCACAGGCAAACTTAGCAACAAATTTGTTAAGACATACAAACACACACACACACACACACTGTATATACATATTTGTAACACACACACTGCATACACAGTGGCTGAATTAGGAAATTGTGTGTGTGTTGTTGTATGGTGCAAAAACGTGGCCAATGACAACCAAACTGGAACAACAACTTCAAAGAACCGATATGAAAATAAAGGACCATATCAAAACTACCTTTACATTAAAAACCATATATAACACTATATAACTATATATAATCAATAACTCTGCATAACTATATATAAATCTATATAACCGTATATAAATCAATACAACATAAAAAAATGTCAGAATTGATATTTTAAAAAAATTTACATTCTCAATAAGAATTGAATCGATAAAACTTGAGTTTAAATTAAAATAGATGAATGAGTGCTCCAATTGATTGTACATAAATCATAAAATACTACTCAATATAACCAAACCTAAATCGACAATACTATAAAACAAAACATGTAAATCTTTCTCTCTCCTCTCTCTCACTCTATATATATATATATATATATATATATATATATACATACATACATATATATATATATATATATATATATATATATACATACATACATATATATATATATATATGCGATTTCTAACGCAAGAGATTTGAGATGGAAGTTTGTAAAGATAATAATGAAAAATAACGAAAAGACTATAATGCATAAATGGCAGTTTCAAAAGTACACAATACATACATTCATATATATATATATATATATATATATATATATATATATATATATATATATAGAGAGAGAGAGAGAGAGAGAGAGAGAGAGACTTACAAGAATATATATATATATATATATTCAATTGAATGAAATAAAATGTAAATTGGTAAAAATAAATTTGATCCATCATCGCATTGAATTTGTTTGTTTGAGTAGATGGTGAAGATATATTAAAGAAAATAAATAAATAATACAAACACTTATACCAACGTACACACACACACACATACACACACACACACACACTCACATACAAACACACACACACTCACATACAAACACACACACACTCACTCACATACAAACACACACACACAAACACACAAACACACATACAAACACACACACACATACATGCATACATCACGAATAAATGGTAGAGACTATGTGACTTTTTCCTTGCGTTGTTCTATGAGCTTATGCAGGCAACCAGTGCACACAGCAACCGTTTCGGTCTGAGCTGCCGGGGCTAATTAGAATAAATATTAGCCAATTAACATAATTTATTCAATAATTAACATAATAATTAACATACCGGTAGCGCCAAATCTGGAGCGAGGAACTTTGTGGGAGCAGCAGCGAGAGCAGAAGTGATTGCCACAGCAATTGCAAATATGCTGTGAGTGAGTGTAAATATATAAACTCCCATTGACTATGAATTAATTTATTCAGGAAAATATTAAAAAATAATACGAATGGACTCACTCTCCTTTTCAAGATGGCCGTAAATATGGCTCCACAATTTTTACATTTCTCTGGAATTAAATTTAAAAGAGAAAATCGTTTAAAATTATTCCTGAGATAAAACTATAGCCAAGCATATAAATTTATAGATAGTATGAGCTATTTACAATCTATAATTAGAAACCTATGAACTTTTGTAAAATCTATAAATAGAAAATTCTTCATTCAAAAATCTCAAATTAGAAGCTGCTGCCTTTGAAATCTATAATTAGAAGCTTCTTAATAAACATCTATAAACAGAAACTTTCAAGTTTAAAATCTAAAAATAGAAAAAAGTAAAAAACCCATAGGGATATTTTTAGCTTTGTTCTTCAACTCCATGAACTTATCGACAAAATTAGGAACTTTTTGGTTGAGCAAATTTCTATTGTTGAAATTTGTCACTGCAGCTGTTGTCGTCCCTGTTGAAAAAATTGTTGAAGTAGTAGTAGTAGTAGTTGTTGTCGTAAGCAACGACTTTGCAGCTGGAGATGATGATAATGATGTTGTCGGGAATGATGACGACGACGAGGACGTTTGTAGGGATGTGCGGACTTCATGAGATTCTGTTTCTAACTGTTTATAGGTCACCCCGTCCATAATTGATGATTTTAATGGCTGTGGCCGTTGTGGTTGCTGCAGTTGTAGGGAGGTTTGCAAGGCATTTTGTGGCAACTTTTGATGCTTTTGTGTCTGCTGCTGTTGAGTGTTCTTAACCACATCTGATGTGAGGCCGTTCAGCGCCGAATCTTCATCCGAGTTCATGTCATCCACTAGTTTCTGGAAATTTATAAGAAAATGACAAAAGTAACAATGCCATTTTTAGTAGTAATTATCAATAATAATAATAAATTAAGTTAATTAAATTAAGTTAATTAAATTAGGTAAGTTAAGTTAATTAATTGAGTTAATGCAATATTGATAATGACTACTACTAAAAATAATAAAACTACGAACGACATGGCAAACCAAACTTTGCAGAAACATTTTTGTGAAACCGATCAACCATAAATTAGAAATCTATGTATCAATCAATCAATCATTCTTAGTAACGATACTATTTTTATATAGATATAACAGATATCTTTCTTATGTGGATGGAAAACCGAATGAAACATCAAGCTAACCTCAGAACATTCGGAATCCGTGGCGTAGAACGCATCTACCTGATCCGAGTACTAACAAGAAAAAATTATATTATATTATTATATTATAATTATTATCATAATTATAACCAAAAACCAAAATAATTGTTATCAATATAATTAGAATCTAGGACCAAATAGAAATACATTTGAGAGCCCCAACAATAAAAACATACATCTGAAGTAACTTCAGACTCGTCTGCAATGTTAACCACACCTGGAACTGGAACCATCAGGGTTGCAGTAGCTGAACTTCTACCTTGGTTAACAGTATCGTTGTTACTATCAGTAGCTGTAATATTTGTAGTAGTGGTTGCTGTAGTAGTGGTAGTGGCAGCAGCTGCTGCTGTTAATTGTGGAGCAATAGGAGGCAGGGAATCAGATTCTGGCGTTTCATTGGCCGATGAAGGAATGTTGGTGGAGTCATGAACTGCCAATCAAAAAGAGGTGTTTTATTGTTTATAAATATAACAGATAGGGTGTTTTTGAAAAAGTCTTTCGGTTGAGAATGAAATTTTTGAAAATTTTGAAAGCATAGATGGAGCAAGAGGTGTGGGAGGATTGAAATAATTATTAAATTATGAAATAAGTTATAAAAAAAATTATTCGTAACGCTGAATTTGTCGAAAGTAATTAATCACAAAAAGTATCTCATACCATTCTTGCTTGTGGGCCTCGATAGAAGAACAGCCAGATTCAAGATGAACAGAAAGAAATACCTTGGAATGAATGAATAAAAGACTGAATAAATATGAATAAATGTAGGAGCTAATGAATGAATGAATGAGAGAATAAATGATAAATGAATGAATGAATGGACGAACGAAACATCAATTAATTTCTTCATATCGCGTTATAAACTTTAACATACACATTAGACATACACACGCGCACACACGCGCACAGGCATACCTTAAAGGTGCAAAGAGCAGGAGCAGTAGTGAACATCCCAATATAGCGTGAAACCTACAAGAGGAATTTATCATATATGAAAAATATAATGGATGAATGGATGGACGTTGAAATGGATGAATACCGATAGATGGGCCGATAGACAGATGGATAAATGACGGATTGATGGATGGAAGATTGGATAAATAGATAGACAAACAAACAGACAGACAGAGTGACAGACAGACAGACGGACGGACAGACAGACAAATAGATAGATACAGATGGATGGATGGATGGATTTAAGGATTGAAAGTAATAAGAAAATACTTTAATGATATTTTGAGGTCAATCCAAGCAATGACAGAGTAAGCCTTCAACAAAACATTTGACATGAATACTATTGAACTCTCTAATACTGATAACCTGCATTTCATTATTGTCGAATGGATGAATGAGTGAATGAATGTGTGAATAGCCAAATGAATTAATGAATGAATCGTAAATGATTAAATAAATGAATTGACGAAGGAATTAATAAATGACTGATTGCATAAATATGTGAATGAATTAATGTATGGCAAAATGAATGAATGAATGAATGAATGAATGAATGAATGAATGAATGAATGAATGAAAGAGTGCAAACATTCAGTTAATTATTTGATATGAATACTATCAAACTCTTTAATATTGATTGCATACAATTTTATTGCTTTTGAATAAATGAGTGAATATATGAATGAGTAAATGAATGAATGATTGTACAAATGAGTGAATAAAAGAGATAAAACAATGTTTAAAAATCATTATAAGATTATTAATTACTTAATGACAATTAACTAATCAGTCAACGAAACAACAACGATAAATATTAGCCATCAAAAAAAATCCCCAAAGGTGAAACGGAAAGTGAAAATAATTTCAACTGGACTGACAAAAGCCGGAAATCCCGCATATTTTCGGAATGAGATTTGCAATTGTATGGGGCGTCCGGTTCAATTGAGGGTATGACTTTGATGAAGAGTTTGTACTGGCGGTGGAAAAACCCGAACGTCATTAGGGATGTAAAAGCTAGGGCGAAGATCGTGATTAGGCCAGCTGTAGTAAAAAAATAATTTTATATTATACTAATTATCTGTATTTTATTATTTTCGAATGAATGAAATAATGAATGAATGAATAAATTTACAGACGTGTTAATGGTATTATTGCTATGACATCTCATCATTCATTCATACTTTTAATTTTATCATTACTAAAATCAATATTTTAAAAAAGGAAAATTTCAAAATTAAAAAAAACACTTAATAAACATAGATTATTAAATCATAATTTATGAAAAAATTAGCAAATTTTTTTCAATAGAAGGAATTTAAACCAAAAAAAAAACAAACATTCAGATATGAACAAGCCAAAAATATTCATCATGACCAGTGTTACTGCAGTATTCAGCCGGTTCTCCCACCTTTAAAAAAATAATTACAATGATTAATAAATAAGAGGAACAAGAAGCAAAATGATACCAAAAGATTACAATTCAATACATATTAAAATGTCAATTAAAAATTAAATAAAGGTAAAAAGATAACCATTAATTATGATAATTATATATGATATTAAGATGAAATAATATAAAATGATGAAATTAAATTAATAACAACATTCAAATGACAATGGAAAAAATAATAATAGATGTTTGCTGTTATAAATCTACAATTAGATAATTCTGATTAGGCAGAATATATGATGAAGATCATTTTTGATTAATTAATAACCAAAATCTTCTTTATTTATTAAATAAATAACTAATCAGAATAAAGAATTTGTGGAAATTAATAAAACAAAAATGATGGAAAATAGAATAGTAAAGTTAAATAAAATAAAGCTAACATTAGAAAACTCTTGATGACTTCCCCGGACAAGAATATCGGCCTGGCAATAAATAAGAAATTTCTGGAATTATCGATCAGGTCCTGAATGTCAAGACGCTTGGTGGACAAATAACCAAAGTGGTCCATCAGAGGACTGCTGTCAATTTTCATTTCTTTCTTTTCTTTTGTTCTTTTTACTATTGGTGTTATCAGTTGTTAAATAAAACCTGCATTTTATTTAAACGATATTAATTATTAATTGATGATTATATTAACGGATTTTATTTTTTAATGTTTTAAAATTAATGATGAATGAAAATTTATAGATGGAAAAAAAATTGGAAAAACCCAAAACCCAAAAACGTTCCTTTTCAAATGCAAGAAATTTAAATCAAAATCTTTCTTATCGCGCACATTTTGTATAATTTGTTGGCTTGAATAATTGAAAATAAAAAAAAACTACCTAATTCGCCTAATTCAAATTAAGTTCGTTGTTACAAAAAAGTTATTAAAATTTAAATATTGAAAAAGATTGAACATATGATCGGATTGTTATTTAAAAACGTATGACTGAATTTAGCTGCCAGTTAACAGAACCTGACCTGACCTATATATTATGCGCGCAGAGAGACCGTATAAAAAAAGTAACGTTTCTCTGCTTCTTGCATGGCCTGCATTCATACATGTTACAAAAAGTATTTAAAAAAATTAAACATATAATCGGATTGTTATTTAAAAACTTATGACTAAACTTAGTTGCCAATTAGAAAAACCTGACTTGACCTATATATTATGCACGAAGAAAGATTGTGAAAAAAGTGACGTCTCTCTGCTTCTTGCATGGCCTGCGTTCATACATGTTACAAGAAATTGTATAGCTATATAAGCTGCTTAACTGGTCATTGAAATGTATACAATGTATGTATTCAATATATTCAAAGAACGTATGTATAAACAATGATTGCGTGAATAAACTATTGAACATAACGATAATGATATAGTGAATTCAGAATAAAACTGAAGTTTTTTTTAATAGATTCATGTAGTACTTAATCCCGATGGCATGAAAGTGTATAATTTGATAATGGAAATTCCGAGGTTTTTGATATATAGTATCTTGAATCGACCGATACTATAGATTTTATCATTATTTTATTTCTGAACCCAAACTATAGTTCGAGTTATTTTTGAATGTTCTCGCTAATATAGTATATTAAGCTGGTAATTTGTTACTGATTTTTGTAGTACTCAACCTTTTGAGTAAGAAAATGTATAATTTGTTATTGGAAATTCCGACGTTTTTGATAGAAAGTATTTTGAGTCGACCGAAAAATTATTATGTATTACTGTACTCAAATTATAGTTCTGGTTCTTTTGTTGAATGTGGCGCTGATACGATAAATTAAGATGGTAATTTGTTACTAGATTCATGTTGATTTTTATTTCATGAATATAAAAATTTATAATTTGTTAATGGAAATTCCATCATTTTTGATATATAGTATTTTGAATCGACTGAATATTTATCATTATGAGACACTGAATTGCACTATGGCTTGAAGTTCTTTAAATATGGTGTGGTTATAACAGAATTTTGTATTAGATGTAATAAGAACTTATTCTCCTGAGCATGAAAAAGTATAATTTGATGATGGAAACTCTAAATAATTAACATCGTTCGTTAGATATATCATAATGACACAACGGTAGTTCTTTCCAGTCTGAGCTTTAGCTAGCTATATTTCGGTAACATTTTTGAGCTTTTGCTAGCTATTCTGATATTCTGGTAACAGTCTGAACTTTTGCTAGCTATATTCTAGTAACAATCATTATTTTAGTTATGAAAAAATTCATTCTTATCTTCATTCAAGATATATGAATCGTACCGAATACTAATAACTTTGGTTCGAGTACCGATAGATATAAACCGTGTCAGGTCCGTCAGGTCTTTTTATTATATTCAGTAATATTCCCAAATAAATATATATCATCGTATAAATAAATAGTATAAAACTCTCTATAATAAATAAATATCAATATATATATTATATCCTATTATATATATTTTATATCAGTATATAAATATATATTTGTTATACATATGTATCTCATATATCTGGATTTAAAATGGCAGGTTTTAATTAATCGATGCTCCGAAAAATTTTTCCCTAACTGCCAACTCTCCGGAAACTAATACTGTGTACTGTAATATATATAAACTCTTGTATGGTCGTTTTATCTTCAAGATATTTTTGTTATAATAATGTCCTCGACTCCGTTACATTCTACTACGAAATTACGCATTCAGAAGAATAATTCAAGGAGAGGTGGTGCCAGCAGTAGTGGTAGCAGTGGTAATTGTAATAGTAATGGCGTCTGCGGCACTAGTTCTAGCTGGGGTAGCAGTCGGCGTTCGTCACCCATGGCCGCTCGTGATATTCCTAATTCCAGTAATTTCATTTTGTTCACACTTTAGAATTTTAAATGAATTTTTGTTTTTTTTTTACAATTTTTTCATGTTCTGAAACTTCTACGATTCCAAAAGGATGTTGCTGACTGACTGCATGCAGTACAGAATACTATTGTTATTATTACACTTGGACTGATACTACAAACTAAACCAACAACATTGTTTAACAACATTCAAAATTAAATTTGAATAGTATTTTTTATAGTATTTCAAAATTTGAACAGTATTTACTTATAATAATATTTCAAAGTTAAACTTGAACAATACTACTAAATTCAAATTAAATCAACTATAAAATTTTAAATAATTTCTGAAAGATTCAATAGCGGACAGCCAATCGGTGATGGGGCCAGATAGAATGCAGAGACTATCACTGCCTGAACATGAACAACAGTGTGGGCCCAGCAGAAATAGGCACAGATATGATCTGAGGCGTAAAGCATCGTCATTTAATTCTTCCATTGACAATGCAACTACCGTTGACAATTGCAGTTTTTATAATTCCCCACCTAAGAGGCTTAAGTGTTCAAGGTCTTCCTTTTGCCTATCTGCATCTAACATGGGTGAAAGATAATTTTTTTTTAAATTTGTTTAATTTATAAATGCATTACGTTGTTAAAATTCTATGATATATTATACAGAAAATATAGCATCGCGTTGTTGAAATACTATCATATATTATACACAAGAAAGTATTTTATTATATATAATTCATCCATTTCTTTTTATTTCAAAGAAACGGTCGGTGGATACTACATGCAGAATGAACTGCCTGACGAGGTCTTGCTGAAGATCTTCTCCTACCTACTCGAGTTTGACCTCAGTAATGTTGCTACCGTTTGCAAGAGATTCAATGCCGTTGCCAATGATAGTGAACTATGGTTGAAGAATTTTTCAAGTTTTTTCTTTCCCTATGCATTTTTTCTGGGTTTTGTGTTTTTCCTCTGTTTTTTTTTGGTATTATCATCTTTGCTGTCATTATTGTTACTGCTACTGTTATCTATATGTTATCTATCTTTATTATAATATCTCTATATATCATCTCTATATATCTATCTATATTATTATATCTCTATATATCATCTCCATATATCTATCTATATTATTATATCTCCATATATCTATCTATATTATCATCTGTTATCTATGCTACCTATATAATGTTCCCCACCATCTGTTTTTTTATTAATAATATAATTTTCATCTGAGTCATCGTCGTCGTCATCATCAACACCACCATTGCACATACACATGCGCACACACACATACTTACATATACGTACACACTTAAAAACATATATACACACATACGCACAAACACACACGCATACATACACATACACACATATATACACATTTAAAACAGGAAAAAATTGTACCAGAATGTTTTTGAATATGATCTCCCACTTACAACCAGTGCTTTGGAATTTGGCATTTTCAAATTCATCAACCCATCTACAATTAATAATAATAACAATAATAATAATTTTAACAATAATAATAATAATTATAATAATAATAACCTGTGGAAAGATTCTTTCAAATGTTTTGTTTGTATAATTTTTTTGTTTATTTTGATGTGTGTGTGTGTGTGTGTGTGCGCGCTTGCGTGTGTGTGTAATCATTTTTCCATACATTCATGAATTTGTTTATTCATTCATTCATTCTTTCATTAATTCATTTTTCTTACATTTTTTCATTCATTCATTTATTCATTCATTATGCTTGCATGCATGCATGTTTGTTGATCTTGTCTGTTTGTTTATTTCATATTTTTTTTTACAATTTTTAACCTCAAACTTTAACTTTCAAATTATAAAATATAGATCGCCCATTCATTTTGAAATGTAAACTAACTCATAATCCAAAATGTTAAACTTACTTTTTCAACTTACATTCCCTTTTAGTACAACTCGTGGCACGTCAGGGTTGGCTATAAGCAGGAGTTTGAAGAAAATCCCCAAAGATATGTGGGCAGAAAAATAAAAGTAAACCTCAATTTTAATCTTTTTAAATGAAATAAACGTTAAAATTATTTATATTTGTTTATTTATTTCATTCTGCTGTCTATTCGGTCGGTCCGTCATTCATTCATTCATTCCATTCATTCATTCTGTCAGTCGTTCATTCACTTATGTAATTAAGTTATTAATTTATTCATTCATTTAAATATTCATTCATTCATCCTAACAATTATTCAACCACCCATCTGTCTATCAATTCATTTTTTTTATACAATCCGACATTCATTCATTCATGCATTCACCCATTCATTCATTCATTCAATCCATCCTCCATTCATTTTATTTTCAAAATTTTTCCAGTACTTTGATTCCATCTCTGAAGCTTATGACCACACATTAGCAGTTAATCAGCCACAACAACAGGTTCATCATCAAGACAACAACAACAACAACAACGATAATAGTAGCGATAACAATGATAATAATAGTAATAATAATAAAAGGCCGACGATTATTTTTATACATCCGGGGACTTATTCCAAAAGACTTAGTATCACTAGCAACGTTATACTCATTGGCGCCGGTTAGTTAGTGGAATAAGGAACTTTTTTTTTCTAAGGATGGTAGTCTTGATGATGAAACCGACGATGATAATGCACTTCATTCATTCATTCATTCATTCATTCATTCATTCATTCGTGACACATCTATCTATCCATCCGTTTATTTATTCATTAATTAATCATAATTATAATGTTTTAACTTGCCATCAAACGTGAATAAATTATTATAATTAACCAGGCCCGGGCAACGTCGCAGATCACGTGATCATCGAACGACAGAGCGAATCGGCTGTTTTGTTCAGTGAAGGAGCTAAGCAGGCCTACTTAGGATATGTCACCATCAAAGTTGGTTTTGAAATTCACGCACATTCTTTTGTCCACAACCATCTGTCAATCATCTTTTCATTCATTCATTTGTTTGTTCATTCACTTGTCCATTCATTCATTCCTCCTTAGTTAGATAGTTAAGTAATTTCTGTTCTTATTTCTTTCGCCGTTTGTCTTCCATTTCCTGGACATGTCATGTTCAGCTTTTGCATTGTCTTTTGGATCATCAGTCAGTCATCCAATCTAATTAATCAATCCCAATTCAATCAACTAACTGATTAATCGAATAATCATTTCAATCCTCCATCAATCAATCAATCAATCAGCCAACCAACCGACTAATGCAATACAATTTTATTTGACCCAAAAGAAGTGAAAGGTACAGGATGACTGTTAGTCTTCGAGAAACTCATTGAGCACAGCCACCTCAGCAAAATTTTAAAAATATATCATATGAATGTTGTTACATATACAAAGAAAATCGAATTTAACTACAATGAGACACATATAAATCAATTAAATTTTAACTAAAGGCCAAAGATATATAAAAATAAATAAACAATAATAATCATTGATACCACAGTACCATGTAGATATACAATCATAAATATTTGTCGAAAACATGTTCGTATCTATCTATGCTTTCAATGTATGTATATCCAATTACGCAATTGTACACAAGCACGTACACATTTACATACGTCCGTGCCTGCCTTCATGCCTATAGTCGTTCGTTCTTGTGCGTGCATACATTTCCAAGCAGACGTATTCTCTCCCATTCACATACAATCATACGCAACGCATACCTAAAATATCCTCATTGTACATAATTCATACCCGTCCTACATTTAGACGCATGTACACTGATAAAATGTATAAGTACACTAGCTGGTCAATGTCTGTTTACAAGAGTCATGTTTCTATATGTCCAAAAAAATTCCATAAATCAAGAATACAATATAAAAATACAATATAAAAAGTAAGATCAACCAACCGACCAACCAATCGACCAACCAACCAAATAATCGACCAACCAATCAGCCAATCATTTACAATCAGTTCAGCCCAAGTGCTCCGTCTTCAGTTCCCCATCATAAGCACTACTCCCTCGAGGTAACTGACAACTCTTCGCCCATAGTTGATCATTGTACTGTTAAGAGCTTTTCAGTTGGTTAGTAGGATAATTATCATTGTAACCGTGATAGAAATAATAGATAGTGACATCAGTTGCTGAGTGTGATGAAATGATGTTGGACAAATAATAATGGGCGAAAATGACTTGATAAATGTTATTACTATTATAATTATAACAATTTCTGCTAGTGCAGAGAGAGTTCTGCGATGTTTACTGAAAGGAATGTTCATCATCGCGGGCTCTATATATTTTTCTTGAACCACTCTTCTAAACCATCCTATCCTCATTGCACTCACGAGAAAATGACTAATTGCATTTCATTTTATTAGATTTGATTTGATTTTATTAGATTTTATTCATTTTATTATGGTTTTACGGAATTTTCGGATTTAAATAAAATGTTTTTCGCGTTGTCGTTGTTGCTATTATTGTAAAATAAATTCCCCTGCTTAATTCTGCCGACCAGTCGGCGCAGCTGTGTGCGTGTCGGGTTCGGGAGCCGACCCTCACATCAAGCACTGCAACATCAGTGACTGCGAGAACGTCGGACTCTTTATCACTGATCACGCCCAGGTTGGCTGGCTGGCTGCTCTGCTGGTGGATTGATTAGTTGATTGATTGGTTGATTGATTGGTTGGTCGATTAGTTGATTGGTTGGTCGATTAGTTGATTGGCTGGCTGGTTATTCGTATAGATAGTTGGTTGGCTGGCTATTATTGGTCGGTTGATTATTTGGTTATATGAACTCATTGATGTATCGCACGTGTATAATTCAAAATCAGTTCAACGCTCATACTTCTTTTATTTCTGCAGGGCACGTATGACTACAACGAAATCTGTCGAAATGCACTGGCTGGTGTCTGGGTGAAGAACCATGCCAACCCAATAATGAGGAACAATCACATACACCACGGCCGAGACGTTGGAATATTCACTTTCGATAATGGCTTGGTCAGTTAGGGATTAGTGAGAATAGGGATATGCTTTTTGATTTGTCTATTAGTTAGAGGTGGTATGTTTTTTGAGAGCCTCATTTGGAGGCTGTGATTGATGGGAATTTTTGTAATTGAAATAAATAAGGCATTTATTTTTGCTTTTTAAAGCAATGCCCTAACCCTGACCCCAAATTTTCCTAATCAGGGTTACTTTGAGGGCAACGAGATCCATGATAATCGAATTGCTGGGTTCGAGGTGAAAGCCGGGGCCAATCCGACGGTGGTCAAATGCCACATACACCATGGCCAGACAGGGGGAATATACGTACATGAAAATGGTCGCGGTCAGTTTATGGAGAATAAAATTCACTCGAACAATTTTGCGGGGATCTGGGTCACTTCTAACAGTGATCCGACCATCAGGTATTTCATATTTTGCCTGGGAGTGCATGTTTGTTTGTTTGTTTGTTTGTTTGTGTGTGTGTGTGTGTGTGTTGGTAGTTGCTTTTGTTGTTAACTCTAGTTATTGAGGTAACTAACTTGTGTACCATTAGCATCATCATTCCATTACTGCTACTTCACATCACTGTCATCTTTGTTCTTGATAAAAAATAAAAATTATTCCAATTCAATCAATCCTGCCCTCAAAATCGGCAAACACAATCACACAGACGCAACGAAATCTTTAACGGCCACCAGGGAGGCGTGTACATATTCGGCGAGGGGCGTGGCCTAATCGAGTACAACGACATACATGGCAATGCCCTTGCCGGAATCCAAATTAGAACGGGGAGTAATCCAATCGTGCGCCACAATAAAATTCACCACGGGCAACATGGGGGAATTTACGTGGTCTGTGTACTGTGTTTTTCGTGTGTATATATATATATATATATGTGTGTGTGTGTGTGTGTGTGTTTTTTTTGGAAACTATCAACTTGTTGTTCTTGTTCTGTATAAAACTTCATCACAGCTATCGTTATAATAATTTGATTGATTGATTAATTAATTAATTAATTCGTTGGCTGCCCGCTAAATTAGCTTAACTTGATATATACGATTAGTAATTACTCAATCATTAATTTTCCTAATTAACATTCATGTACCTAATTAATATTCATGAGCAGCACGAAAAGGGCCAAGGATTAATAGAGGAGAATGAAGTGTACTCGAACACACTGGCCGGGGTCTGGATCACCACGAATAGCCAGCCAATACTAAGAAAAAATAGAATTCATAGTGGAAAGCAGGTCGGTTGGTTGGTTGGTTGGCTGGTTAGTTGATTGGTCGGTCGGTCGTTCGGTCAATCGGTCGGTTGATTGATTGGTCGGTCGGTCGGTCGGTTGGTTGTTCGGTTGGTCGGTTGATTGGTTGGTTGGTTGATTATTGATTGATTGTTGTACTAGGTTGGAGTTTACTTTTACGACAATGGTCATGGAACACTGGAAGACAACGACATCTTCAACCATCTCTACTCCGGAGTTCAAATCAGGTACATCCCTATTTTAGTTTTCCTTCATTATTTTATCATTTTTTCGCTCTATTTATCAGCTATCAGTAAAACTCTGTCAACATGTTCATCCTGTTAATGACTAACATTTATTCAATCACTAATGGCTCTCTAATGATTTCCTAATCAGAACCGGAAGTTGTCCTGTAATAAAACGCAATAAAATCTGGGGGGGCCAAAACGGCGGCATATTAGTGTACAATGGAGGATTAGGAGTTATAGAGAACAACGAAATATTCGACAACGCCATGGCAGGCGTCTGGATCAAGACGGATAGCAACCCGACTCTGAGGCACAATAAGATACACGATGGTAGAGATGGAGGTGTTTGTATTTTCAATGGAGGGAAAGGTTAGGGCTAGGGTCTGCTTGTTTGTTTGTTTGTTGTTGTTTGGTCTTAACTGTTGTTGTTGTTGTCGTCGTTTGGCGTTGACCGTTGTTGTTGTTGTTGTTGTTGCTTCTCTCTCACTCTCTCTCTCTCTATCTCACGACCCAGGCATCTTGGAGAGCAACGAGATCTTCCGGAATACACAAGCCGGGGTGCTGATCAGTAACCAGAGCCACCCGACCCTCATCAACAACCGCATCTACGACGGGATGGCGGCCGGCATCGAGATTACCAACAACGCCACGGCCACACTGGAAGGAAATAAAATTTTTAATAACAAATTCGGAGGGCTGTGTCTAGCTAGCGGGGTTCACCCTTTCACTAAAGGTCGTTTTTCTGTTGTTTTTTTTTATTATCTTTTGTTCTTTTGTCATTGTTTCCGTTTTGTGTGTTGTAGTTCTACCCTTGTTATTATCACCATAGCTATTATTTCTTGTTTTTTCTTTATGTTATTTGTGATTGGCTACTGTGAACACAGATAAAGTGATATGATTGGTTAAGAGTAATTTGGTGGAAATAGTTTGATTTATTGGAGGTTAATTGAAACACAAATGAAATGATTTGATCGGTCGCTTGTAATACAAAGGGTATACAGTTTGATTGGTCAGTAGTAATACAGATGAAATAATATGATTGGTCGGTAATAATACAAGCAATGCGATTGGTCCACAAATTATGCAAACTACGTGTGATTGGTCTACGACCTCCAACCCATCAGATAACGTCATATACGATAACCTCAACATGGTGGAAAAAGTCGTGTCCAGTGGCCAGTGTCTCTACAAGATTTCAAGCTACACCAGCTTTCCTATGCACGATTTTTATAGGTCGGTTCGTGATTGGTTGATTGGCGATTGACTGGTTTGTGATTGGATGGTCGCTTATCGATTGGCTGTGGTGACTAGCTGATTGGTGAGTGACTGGTTTGTGATTGGTTGGTTTGAAATGAGTGGGCTGGAAATGATGATAGGGATGAAGGAGAAGAAGAAGGAGAAGACGATTGTGAAAACAAAGCTACATCATCAACATCAAAGAAATATTTATTTGTTTGTTTATTTATTTATTTATTTATTTAATTTTCGTCGCCAGGTGCCGCACCTGTAACACGACGGACCGTAACGCCATCTGCGTCAACTGCATTAAAACCTGCCACGCCGGACACGTTGTTGAGTTCATAAGACATGATAGGTTGGCTGGTTTGTTCGTTCGTTCGTTCGTTCGTTCCTTTGTTTTTTCGTTTGTCTGTTTACCCACTCATTCATTCATTTATTCATTCATTCATTCATTCATTCATTCATTCATTCATTCATTCATTCTTTCATTCAATCGATCCACAGATTTTTTTGCGACTGTGGGGCTGGAACGCTGAACAACCAGTGTCATCTGCAAGGAGAACCTACCCAGGACACAGATACGTTGTACGATAGTGCCGCTCCTATGGAGTCCCACACTCTCATGGTCAACTGATTGGACGTTGGATTCGATGACTGATCGCTGATTGGTTGTTGGATTCGATGACTGATCGCTGATTGGTTGTTGGATTCGATGACTGATCGCTGATTGGTTGCTCGATATTATCACCCGATTGCTGATTGGTTGAGAGTTGATTTGGGATTTTTTTTATTGATTGATTGATTGATAGTCCGGTTTGTTGGTTTATTAGTGTGGGTTGATTGGTTAGCTGATTGGTTGTCTCGTTGATTGATAGACTGACTGATCAACTGATTGATTGATTAAATGAATGAATTGATTGATTAACTGAGAGAATGTAGTAGCGAACGTACGTCGTTTCATTATTAAAGTTTTTTTAATCGTCATTCGGGAACACATTGAAGTATTTTCATTACATATACCTTCATGTGCATACAATGTCTTTTGTTATATAAATTATATATATATATATATATATATATATATATATATATATATATGTTGGTAATAGAATATATAATATCTATACGTATGTATTTGCACGATTTTAAGTTGCATGTCAATTGGTTTTAAAAATATCATTTCACCTGTGTATGTATGCTTGCCTGTATATGTCTATTATTATTATCATCATCACCATCATTATTACGATCACTATCGTAACCAATATTATCTCTCTTTTTTCAATTATTATTAGTATAGGTCGGTTCGTTCGTTCGTTCGTTCGTTTGTCTGCCTGTTCGTTAATTTGTTTTTAGTTTGTTCGTTTATCCTTCTATGTATATATATATATATATATATATATATATAATATGTTATATATATATAATATGTTATATATATATAATATGTTTTATATATATATATATATATATATATGACAGAATTGCATGCGTTATTCAATTTGAAGTTGAGGTTTTCAATTGAAGTTTCATACGATGAACTTCATTCAGTTCATTATCAAGTTTTCTCAGTTCACTAAGCAAAATTTTTGAACAACTGCTAAACAGTTAGTCTCAGCCCAGTATATATATATATATAAATATATATATATATATATATATATATATATATATATAGTTTATTTTTAATCATGGTAGATTATTATATATGCATGTGTACAATGTTATTCATATATATATATATATAATATTCATATTGATATATATATATATAATATAATATAATATATGTATATATGTATATATATATGTCATTATTTATCTTTAATGCTTTTTACATTACACTGATGTCGTTTCCCTATTTATTTCAAGCGTTTATTGTTATTATTTATGTTATTGTTATTATTTTCTCTGTTGTTTTCATCATAACTGTTTACTTATCTTAATGTTTGTATTATTATATGTATAAGTCATTATTGGTTAACATTCTATGATATATATATGTATGTATATGTATATATATATATATTGTTTATATATATATAGTTCCTATAGATCTATTTTTAATGCGTTAATTAGAATGAATTTCTCAAGATTCTGAATGTATAGTTTGATTAAGTGATTGTAAGTTTGTTTTATTTTTATTTATTCATTTGTTCATTCATTCATTTATTCATTTTTGTTTTTATTTGGTATTCATTCATTCATTCATTTGGTAGCACGTAACTATAATTAATTAGGTAAATTAATTTGTTCTTTTTGATAATTAATTTTTCCAATGTTGTTATTTTTAATTGAAAAATAAATGGCTCGTCTTGAAAACTCTGCTTATTACTAACTATATTATGATATAATTATCATTTTATATACTTCTCATGGTTCTGAAAGTTTATTTTGCAATTTATACCTAATTTAGCTGGTTATAAATGTTATTAGAATTCAATAAAAACCACAAATTTTTTTACTTTTTCAGTCTGAATTATCACAAAATAATACTGATAAAGAAAAATATTAAACGTTAAAAAAAACAGAACGCACCCGTTCTTATTTATGTCGGCCATTTTGGAATTTGTCATTCATAATAATGTATACTAGTAGTGCTAAAAGTTGACTGACTGTCCGGACAGACGGATTAGTGTTAGTGACGAAAAGATGGCCTACGGCAGATAATATTTAATAAAATAATAATAAAATAAATAGCTCTAGACCCAGTCTTCTATATTGTTTCATTTGTTATTTATATTAATTATTAATTTTTTGGTATTTTTGGGGAAAAAATTATTTGTGGATTTTCTGTTAGATTTTCACTTTGGTGTAAGTTTGTTTTAGAATATTTTATTGAAAGAATTGGATTTACTAATCAATTAATTTTATTCAATTAAAATTTGCTTTGATTAATTTGTTACATAGGTTGAAAAATTAATTGATTAGAATGAAAGGATAGAGAACTATGTTAGTGAAAATGTTTTTTAAAGGGCTTTTTTTTATTCAATTAAAATTTGCTTTGATTAATTTGTTACATAGGTTGAAAAATTAATTGATTAGAAAGAAAGGATAGAGAACTATGTTAGTGAAAATGTTTTTTAAAGGGTTTTTTCTGCCTTTTTTACAAGCTCACTATTCTAGTATTCTTTTCACTACTAAACCAAGCACTAAACTTAACTAAAATTTATTAGAGTATTAATTTAATTAATTAGTAATTTAAGTTTTATTTTAAATTTAAATTTATTTAATCAGTAGAAGTAAAATGAATCCATTTTTGTTTTTGATTGAGATGGATTGTTTGAAGTCTATGTGACTGAGAAACATTTTTTATATGATGTACTACCCACCATTTCTTCATAAAACAAAAATAATTATGAAACATTTTTCCAACACCTAGTTAGTAGTTACTAACTTAATCTTTGTTAATATTATAATTACATTGCATTACATTACAGTATTATACTAACTAACTAATGCATAATAGAATACTAATTGCTAGTTCTATTTTCACAATTGCTACTACTAATATTTATCTTATTTATTACATTTCAACTACTGCAAAGTGTTAAAGATTGGGTTTTGTGGAGGCTGATTGGTTGCCAATGTCCTGAAAGGATTGGCATGAGAAAGAGACTACTACTACTGCTGCTGCTGCTGCTACTGCTGCTGCTACTACTGATGCGGCTGCTACTGCTGCTGCTACTACTGCTGCTACTGCTACTACTGCTGCTGCTACTACTACTACTAGTAATATAATTATAATATAGTTATATAGTTATAACATCAAAACAATTTTTTTAGTAGTTAGTACAATGCTTGGATCAATTAAGTACTAACTATGCTTACTCATATAAGTGATGCAACACTTGAATACAACACTATACAATACAATGAAGTACTACAGCCTGAGTATTAACTCTTGTGAGTAATGCAACACTTAAATACAACACTGTACTATACAATAAAGTAGAACTGTTTCTTTTACTGTTCTAGTACAATAACTACACTATAATACACTGTACTGATTTAGTAACTTGTTGTCTTAGTATAGATAAGATTTTCTCTTCCAAGCAAATTTTTCTCAAATAATAATTAATTTTCAAAACCATCCCCACTAATATCTTTGCTTTATTTCTGGTTATAACAATAGGAACAGTGATTTTAGGTTTTTATATATATGTGTGTGTGTGTGTGCGCGCGTGTGTGCGTGCGTGTATGTGCGTGCGTGCGTGCGTGTGCGTGTGTGTGTGGTTGGCAGGAGTGGTCTTATGATCATTATATAATTTATGATTTTTTTAAATAAAATTCATTATTTAACATAATATTTTATAAATAAATATCATTGATTATTTCTCTATTCCGTTTTAATTTTGTTATTATTATGGTTTTTTGTTATTATTATTATTATTATTGTTAGTGTAAATTAAAAAAGAGAATTTGTTTGAATGAACCTAACTATTATATTTAAAAGAAAAACATGCTGTAAACTCTGTGTTGATTTTAGCTTTGGTAAACTTAACTGAATAAAATAATGAATGCATGAATGAATGAATAAATAAATAGATGCATGAACGAAGGAAGGAGTGAATGAATGAATGAGGCGAATGAATGCATGAATAAAAACAATTTAGTAAATAAATGAATTGGAAATGGATAGTTAGTGGTTGATTGCTTGAACGAATGTATAAATGGATGAAATGATTGAATGACAGCATGAGTAAATAAATAAATAAACGGATGAATGCATGGATTTATGAATGAATGAATGAATGAATGAATGAATGAATGAATGAATGAATGAATGAGAATATTTCTCAGAATGAAATTATTTGTAGTACATTATAGAGTAATAAATTTTAAGTCAAGCATTATTTTAATGTTGGTTAGTTGGCTACTATTCAACGCTATTTTAGTTAATATGATTGTATATTTATACATACACACACACACATATATATATATATATATGTGTGTTTGTGTGCGTGCGTGTGTGCGTGCGTGCGTGTGTGAGATGAACCGTGGTTGGTTGCAATCAAAACAATGATTGTTGTTATGGAGGATGCTGCTGTTGGTTGTGTGGTGATGATTCTGTGATGATGATGATGATGGGGATGATGATGGTCATGATGATGATGATGGGGATGGTCATTATGATGGTCATGATGATGGGGATGGCCACGACGCAGATAGTAAGATTATTTTCCATGTGTTCATCGGTTATATTCGTTTGATATCATTCACCCATTCTTTTACTTATCCATTTATTCCTTCATTCTTTCATCATTTGTTCTTTCGTTCGTTCGTTCGTTCGTTTGTTTGTAGGTTCGTTCTTTTTTTTTCATTAGCTTAGTAATCCCTCAAATTTTATATTTTAAAAACAGACTCATTAATTAATTATAGAATAACAATGGACGATGATTAAAACGATGATGATGGTGATGATGATCTGCTACCACTGATGATGATGATGATGATGATGATGAAGAAGAAGCTGATGATGATAATGATGAAGAAAAAAAAGAAAAATAATATGGACAAAAGACTAATTAAATTAAGAGTTAAATACTACTACTAATAATAATATCTGCATAGAAGAAACGCAACCAATCTTGTTAAGACTTCACTGACCATGAACGAATGCCTCGACCAATCACAATGCCGCAGCACTGACAATCATCCGGCCAATCAGATTTCATCGTTACTAGAGGAACCATCTCAAACTCCTCCCCCTCTCCATCCACGACTCCACGCCAGACAGCAGCAGCAGCAACAACATTTCAGAAACATCGACAACGGCAACTACAATGGCAGCAGTAGCAGTAGCAATCGCTACTACGACGACGACAAACCGCCACTATTACCCCCGAGAGAACCACTTTTCAACGTTACAGCGTCAGCAGCATCTCCAAGGTCGTCATCTTCGACATCGTCTTGGTTATCTTTGACCATTCCGCCACCAGTTTTTCCGCAATCTGTATCTTTCTTACCTACTACCGCGACCACCACAGCCACAACAGCTACTGGCGCTACTATCACATCCACAAATTTGTTTGGTGTTTCTAGTGATATAAGTTGTGTAAGTGGTAGCGAGGATAGTAACTTAATGTCGAATCGTAAAAGTTTCCTTCATAGTAACTTGATCAACAACAACAACATCAGCAACAACAACAACAAGGATGTTGGTTGCAAACATGAAAATGATAACTTGATAAACTCTTTAATGTGTCTTACTCTGGCTAACATCAACAACAACATCAACAACAACAACATCAACAACAACAAATTTTCAGAAATAATTATAAATAACAACAATAGGAGTAACAATAATAACATCAATAATAATCGTTCATTGAAACTGCACAAACTTGAACCGTTGACGTTAATCAACATCAACAACCTCTCGCAACAACAACAACAAAACAACAGCAACAACAGTTTTATTTTCAACAACAACCTGTTGAGAAACATAACAACAACAACAACATCATCATCATCATCATCTTCCATCACCAGCAACAACAACATCAACAACAACAACATCATCAACAACAACAACATCAACGTTGTACCTCTGTCTCAATGGCCGATTCCAATTGTTGTCATACCATCCCCCACGTCAACATCAACAACGACAATGACGTCATCGTCATCGACGACATCATCGGCACAGATGATGTTGAATAGTATACTACTGCAGCAGCGTCATCATCGGTCGCAGCAGCAGCAGCAACAACAACAATACGGACAGAATTTTGATTGGCTGACGACGAAAAAAAAGGATGTAGTAGAGAACGAGTATGTAGACGGACCCACGTTGAATAATCTTTCGTCTATGGCCACCATTAGAAGCAGCAGCATGAACGACGACGGCTACGACTACGCTGATGACGTTTACAGCCGCAGCCACACCAGCAATGGCGACGACAATAATGGTAATAGCGACTTCATCGAGGACGATGATGACGACGTCTTTGTCGGAAATTCTCTCGCTACAATAACGGCAGCCACAGAAGCGGCGGCAACGTCGTTTTCTACGTTTTTCGCGTCGGCTACGAGACCTGTAACTGTTACCTCACAGCCAGTGAAGGTGTCATTATTGTAGTAGTAGTAGTAGTTGTTGTTGTTGTTGTTGTTGTTGTTGTTGTTGTTGTTGTAATGGTGACATATAATTTTGTTTAATTATCAAGGTTCTACATAAAGATGCGTCAAGGAAACCAAATCTAAAGTTATGTAATTTAGTGCAGCTATCGACGGCGACTTCAGCAACTTCAACAGCGACTTCAACGGCGACTCCGACGACAGCGTCAACAGTAATTAGAAACTTATCGACTTCACCGACATCAACTCCACCGCCGACAACAACAACCATGACATCAACAACAACAACGACTCACGAACAAAACATGAAACCATCGAAACAAACGCGCAAACACCTCAAAAATCATTCTTCATCCTCCGAATATCCACCCCATCTCACCCAGCCATTAAACCCCAAGCAGC